TGAGCAGTTTACATATGGGGTTGCAACCCCCTCATTTGAGTCCCGCAGATCATGCAAGCAAGCAGTTGCAATGTCTAGCATGCAAGCCCAATTTTACTACTTCTCATGAGACAACATCATACCTTGGGTTGTTGCTTGGGTTTGGTGCTGCCCAGGTGTGCAGCCATGGCATGAGGAGCGTGGTCGCGATGGTGAAGTCCTATGTTGCCAAGTTGCCATAGAACTCGGCAAAGTCGTCATATTTCATTCCACTGACGGCCAGGAATTCCTCAAACGCTTTGGTGGCCTTACAGGGTGTTTCCACTTGGCCGAACACTAACACTAAGTTTGAATGTTCTTCGTCCTGGACTCGTCTCTCGCCGTTCTAAATGCATATATTGATACTACTAATGATAGTAGGAAATATTCATCAAACAAATTGGAGGTTGGGGCACTCCTGGCGGAGAACCGTAAGGCCTAGTGGAAACACCCCGTACACTAAGTCCACACTAGCGCACACTAAAGTTAATTGGACCTCAGACCTGCCATTAACTATAGTACCTAGCACTAACTATTTGGCGGGCAACTTTTATGAGCTGGATTGTCCCTTCTGACCATAGACTTTAGACGTAAGCAGCTATCTTTTTTCCTTCCTGCAAACTCCGCGTTGACTTGCGCACGCCCAACACCGACAGCCTCAGAACACCGCCATTTTGCAATGGAGCCCTCCTTCAATAACGTTCAGCAAACATATACCGCTAGTTTGCCTTCCTTCGCTGGCCGGCGGTTGCCAATGCACCATGCGGACTTCATGGCGGACATCATGACGCAGGCTGCGCCGCAGCGGATCTTAAATACGCGAATTCTTACAGACCTTGGCAATTATCAGCAATTAATCCCTGGCGCTAAAACGTTCAAAATACGAAAACAATTTTGGTTTCGGCGCTCCTTAGTGCCGCTAGTGGAAACACCGTCACACTAAGTCCACACTAGCACATAGTGTACCGAAGATAGTGTTAGGACAAGTGGAAACACCCTGTTATCACCAGCAGCACTGCAAACGTTGCTGGGCACGTTTAAAATGTACCGCTCATCTGATGAACCAGTGCAATGGCTGATGATGCCACTCACTTGTCATTCGTTGGCTGCATCATAGCTGCAGCTGGACCTCGTGCATCCTGCGCCTATTGTCCGACGGCTGCGTGGGCTGCATCCCGAATCCACCCACAAAATCATCATTGGCTTCCATTGTGATATTACCTCTTAAGCATCTTTAGAGAT